CAGGGGGAGAGGGGAGTAACTACTGTTCAAATGTCTGCTGTCTCATTGATTTTTAAGAGGTGTCTCTGTGTAGTATTTGTCCAAACTGCTCCAGCAGTAGGTCTTAATCCTGACTCCCCTCCAGACATTCAGACTATGTGCATTCAATTCTTTGTTTCACAGCTACTTCTCTTAAACACCTCACCCTGACCTGTGGGTTAATTACGCCTAGGTGAATCTCAGCACCATCCTATTGAACTTCCTGGTTTCCTCAGCCACAGTTGAACTTGTAGCTATTTATATAGTCAGCCAGGGTGGCCCTGTGAGCCCGAACAAATGCATCTCATGAGGAAAACAATTGGTAGGTTACAGCTTGAGCCAGCCTGCTGGCTTGCCCAGGGTTCCAAACTGGTTTCTGTGGGCTCATCTCATTGAACCCAGAAAGACATGTCCTGGAACTGACGTTTAATACCTAGTCACATGTGGGAGCTTCTCTTTACTTGCTTCGGTCACACAGACTGACCCTCCCCTCTCCACAGAAAATGAACTTTTGTGGATGCTGAACCCTCTGCATGTGATAATGGGCCTTTTCTGTGACCCTCCCCTTGAAATGTATTAGACTCCATCACTAGCTTATCAACTTCTATAGTGTGGGGGAAAGAGGGCTGTTTGCAGCAGGGTAGATAGACTAACCTTTTGGTTTTCTCTTTGGAAAAGACAAATAACGTGACCCTTATTTAAGAAGCATGCTTTTAAAGAGTCGTATGGCTAAAGCCCTGAACAGCTTCCCATTATCTTCAATGGACTGGTGTGGTTATAGCCTTGTCCAGTGCTTTGAAAATACTCAGCAAAACCCATGAAATCCTGAGTTACAGCTGTGCAAATGAAGGGGAGAGCTCTGTATCTGCAAAAGAAACAAAATTGGGCTTGTGCCCTTTTTCACTTCTTTATGAGGGATAGAAAGGGCCTGAAAGGGTTTTCTCCCCCCAGAACGTTGATTTTTCTGCATTTGAAATATCAGATCTTGCCTTTTTTGGCTGGAGAATTGAGAGTGATTATGACATCAGAAGAGTTTAAAACCTGAATATTTGAGAGGGGAGCTCAGAGGTGTTATTAGGAGTATGATTTAGGGGGAAATCTTTATTTCATGCACATGGGCCAAGATACTCAATTGTAAAACCTAGATCAATAGAATGTTTCCAGCTGTGTTTTATTATAATCAAAAGAGGGTGTGTTTTTAAACAAACATTCCTATGCAATACTTGCAACTCACCCCTGGCACGCTTGTGCTAGTGCCTGAGAACCAGGATAATAAAAGTAACTAGAAACTGATTGTAAACAACAGCAAAATTGGCTAGTCTATTTTCATGGTCCAGGCCAAAATAAATCCAAACAATAAACAACAACATACTATATTTAGATTTTAAGAATTCTTTCCATTGAAAAAAAGACTTGCAATTTTGTATGGTTTTTTTTCTTTTTAATATGATTTTTGAACTTGACAGATCCTCTTAATTTCCCCTCTCTCTTGTATTGATCTGGGAAATCAGAATGGATTTTTGGAGCAGTTCCTGGCTGATAGGCAAATATATTTTGAGACAAAATTTTAACATTACTTACCCAAGTCCCTGAGGTTTTTCAAAACCCATATTCATGCTAGGGCTTGCCCTGAATTGTTGCTGTGTTGTGTGGGGTTTCATTTAGAGTTTAGGTCTCAAGAATGACCGTGTTTGGGGCTGGTACACCAGCACTACAGCATGGAGAGCTTGACTGCTTCTCCCCACTTGGACTGTGGCTGCTGAGGAGAGCATGTGAAGGCAAAGTAAACAGGACACACGGGTTATTTTTTAAAATACCTTCCAGAACCTGTTTTTAACAATCCCTGACCCAGAGCATGGCCCAAGTCCCTTCATGCCACCCAGAGTAAAGGCAGGGGGTGGGTGGTGGGTCCAGCCATAAGGAAAACATCCAGGATGGTGCAAGGGGAGAGGCATTTCAGTTCCTTCGTGCTCTCCCTAGTCAAATATGGTTCAACAAGCAGAACCCATTGGGCCAGTAGAATACAAGCGAAGGCTTGCACAGGTGCACATCTCTGTTCCCATGGCAGCTACGTGAACCTCTGAGGATTGTCATAACTCTAGTTCAGTCCACCCAGCTCATTGCCTATCCCTTGTCAAAACTGGATCTTCCACCTTCACCTCAGTTTGATCCTTTGCTACATTTGACTAAGCTCCTGGCCTGGCCGAGACCAGACTAGCTTGTAAAACAGGTGTTGGGCAAGAAAGATCATAATTGGCTTTGTCAGGAAAACTTCCAACATTTTTATCAGCTCTGTGGATTAATGAACTCTTTGGCTGGGCTAGCCTCTGCCCTGCTCTCCGAGTGGCAGTGAAATGATAAAGGTCAGAACCTCAGCAGGTGTAAATCAGTGTAGATCTATTGGCTTCAAGGCAGCTATGCCAATTTACACCAGCTAAGGCTCTGGCCCAGCATCACCTCTGATCTTTTCAGCATTTTAACTTTTTATTTAATTTCGAGAGTTGAGCTTTGAAGGGAAGTTTTCAAGATTATTCAATGTGCCAAGGCCAGATGATGGCCTGCCACGCATGTGGCGAGGTCCCGACACTGGCACAGGAAGGACATACCCATGACCCAACACTCCCACATGGGCATACTGATGGGCATACAGCTGGCACATAGCGAATGTGGCACAGCCATGCTTTCATCACATTGCAGATGAGGCTTGAAGTACCTATAGGGCTAGGGATGAACTTGGTGGGATAAGTCTCCCAAGACTGGCTATATGGCATATCGGCTTCAAAAAGGGTGTGAATGCAAGAACCAACCCAGGGACACATGCTTCTCTCAGCCAGGAAATAGCCATTTTCTCTGGCCCTCCTGGTGGTGTGCTCTGAACTCTAGGGTGGGGGACAGATGTACCAGTCTGCACCCTGTCATTAACCGGGACTGATGTCATTTAAGACTTAAAACATGTAGAGATTTCTGGTCCAGCCCAAGAGTTTCAGTCAGTTTCTATTGTTAGCTGTCAGCAGCGCTGGCCTTAACGCTGCAGGGCTCCTTTGTGCTGGCCAGGACCAGCTCCAGCATTTCTGCCACCCCAAGCAAAAAACAAAAAACAACAAAAAAAAAATCCGCGATCGGCAGCGGCAATTGGGAAGGAGAAAAAAAAAAAGCTGCGATTGGCAGCGGCAGTTCAGCGGCAGGTCCTTCGCTCCTAGAGGGAGTGAGGGACTTGCCGCCCCCGAATTGCCGCAGGTGCCGCCCCAAGCACCTGCTTGTTAAGCTGGTGCCTGGAGCCGGCCCTGGCACTGGCCCCTCTTTTTGCAACACTGTATGAGGGATAGCTCAGTGGTTTGAGCATTGGCCTGCTAACCCCAGGGTTGTGAGTTCAATCCTTGAGGGGGCCACTTA